GGGGTCAAAGAAGGGGAATGTGGAATGGAAGCAAAATGGAGAGCTGCTGATTGCGTAGGAAGAGAGGCATACCATAGAGAGTTCCTTATTGGTCATGACAAGGAAGCCTCCATCGTCCAGAAGAAAGCAGTCCAGATTCTTTGAGAGAAAAAGATAAATACAGTTTTTGTGTAATTTAAAGTAAGTTTGTGGTCAGTAAGTTTTTTTTTTTAAAGAAATTAATACTTTTACTCAGCAGGGATGCGTTAAACTGGGCGAAAGTGACAATAAAAGACATTTATATTGTTACAAAGGATTTCCATTTTCAAATAACTTCACATTCATCAAAGAATCCTGAAAAAAAAAAAGTCATATTATTTTTGTGGAAAGTAAACCAAGCAGCGCAACCATTTTTAACAGTGAAAATAATAAGAAATGTTTCTTGAGACACTGTGACACTGAAGACTGGAGTAATGATGCTGGAAGTTCAGCTTTTCCATCACAGAGATAAATAACATTTTAAAATATACTAAAATAGAAAAGTTATTTTGAATGGTATTCATTTCCCAATATTACTCTTTTTACTGTATATTTGATAAAATGAATCAGTATTTGATGGGCATAAGAGACTTCTTTCAAAAAAAAAAAAAAAAATGTTACTGACTTTTAAAGAGCAGTGTCTTTTAAACTTTTAAAGAGTAGTGTATATAATATAGATAATAACATCTCTTTAGATCTAACACAAGTAGTCACATAAATATGATCTTACGACATCGCTCCTCCTGCACCCACAGATTTCACCAACACACTGTGCAGGAAGAGTAAAAATACAGACAAATTCATATTAGAGTTGTACAAAAATATCAAAACTATATTGGTTAACCAATATAGTTTTGATATTTATGTGCAGCTCTAATATGAATTTGTCTGTAGGCAATATTAGAGATTTTAAAAATGTATGGGTATCAGTGGACAATGGACATACTGAATCATATTGAGTATTTAATTGTTGTGCATGCTCGTTTTTTACATTTAGATCACCTTTGCCATCATCTAATGCTCACTTGAAATTAATCTTTAAAAACATCAACAATAATAACACTATTAAATGCAAATGCAAATCTCAAAATGAATATTAGTTTTTCAAACTGTGCCTTACAATGTTGTGATGCCTAAGTTCACTTGTAGCATTTAGATAAATTAATTTAGTTTTAGTGTTTATTTTGAATTTACTTCGATTTTTGGGGGGATTTTGAATATCGTCCATTTATTGTCTATGCAGTATTAACCATAACTTTCATCACTGCATACCTAATTCATACAAATGGCAAACTGACACTATTAAGATGAATCAAACTGACAATATCCTCAACCATCCTTCTAACCTGCACTACAGTTAAC